CAGGTGGCTGGGTGGGCAGGTGTCTGGGTGGACAGGTGGCTGGGTGGGCAGGTGTCTGGGAGGACGTGGCTGGGTGGGCAGGTGGCTGGGTGGACAGGTGGCTGGGTGGGCAGGTGTCTGGATGGACGTGACTGGGTGGGCAGGTGTGTGGATGTACAGGTGTCCAGGTGGGCAGGTGCCGGCATGGAAAGGTGGCCAGATGGACAGGTGTCTGCGTGGACAGGTGGCCAAACAGGTGGCTGTGACAGACAGGTGGACAGGTGCTGGGCGGTGGGTGGACACGTGGCTGTGCAGACGCACACACACAGGCGGGGTGGCGGCGTGACCAGGACCCCGCGGGCCGGGCTGGGGCTCACCCTGTCGCCGCTGCGCTTCAGCAGCTCCTCCGCCTCCTCCATGGCGGCCATCTCCCGCTGGTGCTGGCGCTCCGTCTTCTTCCGCATGTCCAGGTCACACTCCGCCGTCACGGCCACCATCTTCCGGTCATATTCCTCCTGTACTTCCTTCTCCAGCAACAGAAACTGCTTCTTGAAAACGGCCGCCATCCTCCTCTCGGCCTGCGGGGCGAGGTGGCCGCGGCCGCTCAGGCTCCTCAGCAGCAGGGCCACGACGTCTTTGCTGATCTGCGCCCGGCGAGCCTCCAGGTCCGAGTCCGCCCGGTTCAGCGTGGCGACCTCCAGCCTGGGGAGAGCAGGGAGGCCGCGGGCGCGTCACGCAGCCGGCGCGCTCCGCTCCCCGGCTTCCAGCCAGGCCCCCTGCGCCCCCCGGCCCTCTGCTCCCCGTCAGCGCAGGCCCAGTCCGGCAGCGGGCGCCACGTGGGACCCGCGAGGGGAGAGTTACCCCGCTTGGAGGGCTTAGACTCGGTGTTATTCTTTCTCCCGTTACAAATCAGCTCCTGGCCACGGCAACTGTAAATAGCACGGTGTACGGACAGGACCCTCACGTAGGAGAGGTGTCCGTGGGAAACTCGGGGGAGCCGCAGCACGAGGGACTGTCCGTTAACCGTGGCGTTCGGGCCCCGACGGCAGCCAAGGCCCGGGGCGGCGTGCGGGGTTCTCGGGAGCCGGCACAGGCTGGCAAGCCCGCGCTGCGGCCTGGATCTCCCGTGAGCCTCACGCCGCTCTAAAAACAGTCTGCAGGAGGCCCTCCCTGGGGGCGCAGCGGGTCACAACACAGACTGAGAAGCTAAAGCCGCTTCCGCATGAGTTCGATCCCCGCCTGCCCCGGAGGGGACCCCATGGCACAGCAGACCTCTCCTGACCCGCCCGCTGCTCCCCTCAGCAGATCTTAGACGATCTGCCTGTTCTGCTCCCCACTCTGTCTGTGGTGAATCCTCTCACCGCCCCTGAGTCTCTGGCCTGTACCCCAGTTCTGTATGTACAGATAAATAAATCTTTAAAAAAAAAAAACAAAACAGTCTGCAGGAGCAGCGCGTACGAGCCAGCCTCCGTCGCGAGTGTGGGTGTCGTGACCCCACACCCCTGCACTCTCACGGGGCGAAGGCTCTGGCGCTCGGGACAGCTCCGTGAAGCTGCGCTAGATGCAAAGGAACAACCAACTGATGTCTGTGAGAGAAAACGGGGAAACAGGCGCAGAGAAGGGAGGATCCGCTCCCCGAGGCCCGGCCGCCTGCCGCGTCTGCACTCGGCCCGGCCCTCCGCCCAGGCTCACGGCGCGCTGAAGCCAGCCCAGTGTTGGGCTCTTGTCCCAAGCTACCCTTGGAACAGCCACCTCCAGGGTGCTAGACTTGGGGAGTCCCTGATGTTTTTCCTGTTGCGCACCCGGCTGGCGCACCACGCATCCGACTGTGAGAACAGGGGTCTGACGGAAACTTTATCGAGAAACGTGACCCATCTTCACCCGTGGGCGCTATCTACCACCTGCTCCACTGACTCCCCTGGTGCCTGCGCGGGCCTTTCAGGGAAGCCTGACGCCGTTTTACCTGTCAGCACCGTGTGCGTCGTTAACTGCACCCAGCACGCACGGACCTGCAGCGTCGTAGCCCGTGTCTGCGCCCCGACCTGGACAGCGGCCTCACGTGACCGCACGCTGTTTAGAGCAGGAACAGGGACTCTGATAATGAGTATCAAAGGTCTTTCAGAGCACCTCCGGGTCCCCAAGTGACTCCCGGTTCAGAGTTTAATTCAAGACCTCGCCAGAGCCCACACGCGCCTCGGCCCACCTTAGCCCGTCACATCCGCCCACCGGGACACTGAAGCAGCGCCCACGCCCCCAAGCTGGGCTGCCTCGCTTTTCCATCTCTGTATTTCCTGCAAATTCTCTGAGATCTTAGGTCTCGGTTAGGTCAGGTCAGTGCCGCCCCAAAGCCCCAGAGGGGCGCCATTGTCTCCGACAGGCTCAGCCGGGAGGCCGTCTTCCTCCAGCTCGTCTATTAATCCGCGACGAGTCCACGCAGCAGCCCTGAAAGGCCGTCACCCTTGGGGAGCCACGGTGGGAACTCGCCCGGGCCCCTCTCGTCTGCTCCCCACCGTCGGCGAGGTGGGGCCAGCAGGCGGGGGGTGGGCGTCACAAGCCCCCGCCAGCCTCGCTCGGCCCAGCGTCGCCTCTAGCTGTCAGCAGGTCCCTGGCTGAGCCCGGGGTTGACTCGCCCCATTCTAAGGCTGTCAGGCTGCCTTCTTCACGGAGACTGCCCAGCCACGCAGTTTTTCTGACCTAGAGCTCACTGAGGATACACGTTTGAGTTTCTGCCAATTCAAGAGTCAGAAAGCAGCTTCCGTGGTGACAAGTTGGATCTGCTTGTTGATTTGTTTATTTTCCGGCTGCGTTTCTGTAGGAGGACGGGGAACTGTTAACAAGACTCTTCGAGACGCCCCGCGAATGTCAGCGTTGGCCAGCTTTTACCTGGGAGCCTCACGGGGGGCACGAGGCCACACGGCGTGTGGCTACGACATCAGTGGGCAAGTCACGTGTGCTGGCAGACCCGTAAGCGGCCTTGCCCACGGGCTGGGAGCCAGCTCCGACCCCCGGCTGCCGCCTCGGGCGTGTGCCCGGCGGGGCCGCAGCTTGGCGTGCATGTGACTGGGAGACAGCGGGGATGAGGCTCTGGCGCCGCACCCGCTGGGTATGGAGGGTGCTGCCTGACCCGCGCCCCCGGACCTCCTCTCCCGTGCCTGGACCTCCTGGACCTGCAGGTGGAGGACAAGGCATGTGGGCAGCCTCAGGAGGACGCACGTTCGACCCAGAGCCGACAGCACCTTCCTCTGGTGAGGCCCACTTTGAGCGCTGACCTCCGGAACAGCATGCTTGCACTGCTTAAGTCACCGAGGTGATGGTGATCTGTCACACTCTGCTCTTCTCTGCCCCAGGAGACCGGCCGTGGAGCGCTGGCGGGGGTGCATCCGCACAGGGCCCGCCCGCTCTCATCGCGGGAGCACGACCTCACGGCACTGTCTGTTTTAAAGCCTTAACGACAGTCACCAGGGGTGAACCGCCCAGAAGCGGCCACGACACAAGCTGTAAGACTTCCAGATCACAGGGGAAGGAGACGGCCCTGTGAGCCTCACAGCCTACCACGCAATCAAGGAAGCTAATTTCCCAACAGGCCAGGGAGAGCGAAATGAGCCCCCAGGATCGCAGGGCTCACCTGCAGGGGGGCGCCCCGTCTGCTCACCCCCAGGCGTTTTTAATTATTTAAACAAGAGTGCGGTTCCCACGCTCCTCGCCCCCTCCTCACCGTGAGACAGCTCACACATCCCAGGAATGGTCATCAGTCACTGCTCAGCAAGTGGCCCTGGCAGGGACCTGGGCGGGGCAGACGCGAGACCCTTCCGGCATCCAAGAGCGGATACACTGATGAGCCACGGACTCTGCGCACCGGTGTCCCCTGCAAAACCAGCCACGCTCTCACCCGAGGCTGGCGCAGGCAGGCAGCGTGGCCGGGCTGAGGGCGCACCGGAGAGGGGGACGAGGGGCAGGGCGGGCGGGGGCCGGCCAGCCAGGGCTGAGGGCGGCGGGGGACTGGAGGGTCAGCGCCCCCTGGGCTCCCGCGCCCGGGGTCCCCGGCTTGCAGACGCCTTCTCGCGGGGTGCCGGAGACCGCGCCTGCAGGGAGCCCTGGGGACTGACGGGCAGTGGGGCGCCGCCTTCTCTGCCCGCGGGTCTCCGGCTGCCGGACGGCCCGGACTGGGCAGGGCCGTCCCGGCGGGCGCTCGGACACCAGCGGGCTTGATGGCACCCCCTGCGACGATCGTGGCTGGGCCGGTGTCCCAGAACGTGGAGCCGGTGCGGCTGGACTAGGCCCAGCTGGCGACAGTGACCTCCGCTCTCCGCAGCGGCCACTGGTGGGAAGCAGGCCCCGGGGCCCCTCTGGCCGGACTGTCCGGCGCGGTCACTTATAGGGGCCGGTGGGGCGCGTGGTCCCACCGTGATGCTGCGCCGGTTGCCGGC